CACACACACACACACACGTGTGTACACATAAACATATAAAACCCGTATTTTATAATACAATGTTATTATAGATGTTATTACAATTTATAATATGAAGAAATGAGTTATAACTTATGACAGGTGTGGTGCCAGATCCCTGATGGTCACCCAGGTGTGGGGTGTCTGGGTTGGCATGATGTGTGTAAAAACTCATAGGCCCCTCCTCTGCTGGCCATTCTTGTCTCAATTTCTAGGAGCTGGTGACAGACGTCCAAAGACAAGGACTCTGGCCACTGAGTGGTGGGGGTGGATTTGTAGTCCAGAGACAAAGAACAGACACAGTCAGGGAGAGAGGAAACAGGCACGCAACCACAGAAGCAGCTGTCCATAGAGATGAGGTCTTCCTTTGATGCTCAGAACAGAAAAACCATGCAGTGTCTTCCCTGGGGCTTACGAGAGGTGACCAGGTGACCTACCAGATGACCTCTGTCACGGTCACCCAGCAAGTCCATCAGACACACCGAGCAGAGACTCAGTGAACACATCTCAGCTGCATCTTGGATGAATTATCATAAGCTAGCATTGACTGGGCACTGACAGTGGGACTCAGTGTGCTCATCCATGAAAGAGTTAGTTAAAAGAACATTCCTCAACAAGTGAAGCATAGAATTACCATATGATCCCAGCAATTCCGCTCCTAGTTGTCTATTCCTATTATAAATGGGAGCATTTCCTCCTCAGCCCACCCAATTATGTGCTATGAATCTCAGCCCTACACCTGTGAGTGTGATCCCCGTTGGGAATAGGACTTTCTTGGCTGCGTTAGGCCCTATCAGTGCAGCATGAACCTATCACTTTGGAAACAGACAAAGAGCTCAGCAGACACAGGGGCCCAGGAGCACAGTCGGAGGAAGACAGATGCCACACTACAGAAAGAGTGTGACTGAATCTCACTGCCGGCGAGTGGACACGACTCACAGCGGCCCTGTAAAGCAGGGTAGGACTGCCCCTGTGAGTTTCCAAGACTGCAACTTTTATCAGGAGTGGAAATCCCATCTTTCTCCCTGGGAGTGGCTGGTAGTTTCAAACTGCTCCCTGGGTGCCCTGCAGCCCAATGCATAACTGCTCTGCCACCAGGGCTCCCGGAGCGCCACGGGAGCAAGAAAAAGAACTGGAAACGAGCCAAGCATCTTCTTGCAGCCAGAGCAGGAAAGGGAAGCTTTCCCCTGGCGGCAGCTCCTACATGTGATCTTTAACCTCCAAACGATGAGAACATACGTGTCTGTGCATTAAAGCCACCCACTTGCGATTGTTCTGTGAGAGGTGTGTTAAGAAAGCAGAACACCCAAAGGGCGGCCCGTAGCTGTGTTTATAAGACCCGCCAGCGCCATGCACAAGAGGCAGACAGTAGAAACAACCCAGTGTCTGCCAACAGACGCATGCATAGACAGCATGGGACAGACAAGGGGCTTCAAAAAGCTCATGGAAAAGGGGAATGGAAAGAGAGTGGTACTTTCCCCACAAACTCGTGGATGCCCCCTCGTACACATACAATGGCCTATTATTATCCAGCCATAAAGACAGATGCAGTCCGGGTACATGCGCAGCATGGAGGAACATTGAACACATTATACCGAATGAAGTCAAGACTTTATAATCCCACTTACCTGAAATCGCTGGCTAGGTAAATGCATGGACACAACGGTCTAGTAGAGGTCACCCCGGGGGGAGGGGCAGGGGAAGTTATTGCCAAAAGGGTGATGGAGTCATTTGGAGGCCGTGCTGGCTGCACAGCACGGTGAGTGCAGTGCACGTCCCTGCATCGCGACCCCCACCCCCCCGCCCCACTGGCCATACCCAGTGCTGTGCTCCCTCTACTAATGCCACAGTTTGGCCTTCCTCATAGAGCTGCTCTGTGGATCCGGTGAGAAGATCCATGTAGTGACCCCGCCTGTGTCTCCTGTCTCAGAAATGTGCTCAGCAACGCTAGCCAGGAGAGCCACAGGCTGGGTCACAAGCACTTGTGCTCGCAGGCGAGAACGGCGTGAGCGGTTTCGTGATTGGCTGCAAGTGTGCTTTTGATTAAAGTTGTCGTGATTGGCTGCAAGTGTGCTTTTGATTAACGTTGTCTTGGAGTCTGTGCCGTCACCCAGAAAGCACAGCATACGTGGCCTTGTGCGTCCTTGTCAGGCACTTCGCCCTCCTCCGGGGAAGCACTCGGATGAAGCGTGGCTCACTTTGAGGGGCCTTTTGGGCGATTTGTTGTTTGCGTGCATATGCATATGAGACGCCCCTGGACCTACTTGAGGAAGGAGGCAGGTGCGCAGAAAGGCTCGATGCTATCTGTTTCTATGAATGGAAAGAAAGGCCCAGCTGGGTGGAGCAGACACGCAGAACGTCAGGAGCTCGGGGGAGCGGAGAACCCGTGGGTGGAAATATCCCCCCTGGTCTCTCTTTTCAACCCCACCTTGGACAACACGTTTTTACCTTCAGTCCATGACAGTGGGCGAGAACTGCCATTGAACAACTAGAGTCCCACGTTCCCAGAGGGAAGGAAAGGGACTGAAGGAGAGGGAGACAGAAGCTCAAAGGGCAGACAGGGCTAGAGGGGAGGCTGGGAGGGGGGCGGCGCCCACGCACCAGCCCCTGTGGTTCACGGGGGTGGGGGTGGGGTGGGGTGGGGTGGGGCAGACTTACTTCTGCAAGGTCTGGAAGCCACGCTCCTTGAACTGTAGCTCCTGCTGCAGGTGAACCATCTCTCTCTTCAGCTTGTTGACCTGCACGGAAGAAGATCACAGGAGCTGGCTCAGAGGCCGGGGTTGTGCTGCAAGCTGTCTTCTCCTCAAAGGGGCAGAGAAACCACAATCCCAGAATCCCCATGCCCTTTGGACCACACAGTGGGTCACACAGCTCACCAACCCTCCCCCCTCTCTCATGCCGGCCCTGGTTTCTGTAGCTTCCCACTCAGTCAGCAGCTCGGCTCCCCTTTCTGACAGATCCTCTAGGCCAGTGCCTGGGCTAGGGCACTGCAATCCCAGGAATCCTGGAGAGAGCTTGGCCTTCCCACTTCCTAGCGGTGTGACCTCTTTTAACCCCCCGTACTTCTCCAAGCCTCCCTTTCCTGCCCTAGCTGGCTATGGCATCCCTAGGGTTGTGCATTACTTAAAGTAGCTCATGGGCATGGGAGTACGCTGTCTGCAAGTGAGAAGCAATAGAGTAATCTCAGAGGCAAGACGTGGGCTAGGAAACCGTTTGCGCAAAAATGGCCCAGAAGCCAGATCCTATCTGCAGAAATAACCTGCACAGTGTTATTATTTGTTTCAAAATAATTCTTGGCTCATAATGAAATATTGAGAGATTTATATAATGAATCTACATATACTATTGGTCTCTTTAAAAATGCCTGCTAATCTAGGAACCTTGAACTCTCATCGCAGCTTGACCACCAAAGGCTAGAGCTGAATTCACCTACATCTCTCCCCACTACTCCTTATGTCTCTCACCTGGCCCTCAATTAGATTTCCTTGTAGGCACCTGAGTCTGTGGCACCCATTTGGTGTTCAATTAAAAACTGAATATACCGTAAACCAGTGAAGTTACTGCTGGGCTTTAGTTGTGTAAAATGGTAATGAACTATCCCTTAGGGTACTCATGAAGGATTAAGATAATGTAGAATAAGCAGCAGCTAGAGAGACGGTACAGAAGAGCCCTGGTAGTGTCATGGTAAGGTGTTGGACTGCTAACTGCAAGATCAGCAGTTCAAAATCACCTGGTGCTCTGTGGGAAACCACAAAAGAGACCTTCTATTTGCACAAAGAGTTACAATCTCAGAGGCCGACAGAGGCAGCTCTACCTTGAACTACAAGGTCACCGTGCGTCTGAACCGACTCAATGGCAGTGAGGAAGGCGGCACACTACACTTAGAGCTCTGGAACAAGATCTGAGTCCTTTGTGTCATCGAGCAGATTACTTAGCTCCCCAAACCTGGGTTTCCTCAAATTTAAAATGCAGACGATGATAGTAGCTACTTCATGGGGTTGTTGCAAAGACGTGATGCACGTAGCACTGTGCCTGGGATATGGTGATTGCTTATGGAATAGTAGCTGCTGTTACTATGACTACTATTGCCATGACTACTGTTGCTAATGAATATTTAGGGCACTGGACACTTTCAGCAGTGGGTGCTGGGTCTGCCTGAAGCATCTGTTGCGATCTGAGGCCAGCCTAGTGACCCCCATCAATGGCACAAGGGAAGGGGTCCTACCCGAGATTTTGCAGTGGCAATTTCAGCTTTCAGGATCTCAGGGTCATACTTAGAACTGGAAGACGAACCAGAGACCACTGCAAGAAAAAAGAAAAAGTAAATAAACAAACAGAGCAAGGATACCTGAGCAGAGAAAAAGTATTTAGACAGAGCTAATTTATTTGGTTAAATTAACCCAGAAAGTACCGATGAATTATGAACAACTTAAATGCCCAGGAAAGGGAGCTTTGTTGAAGAAAGGTGGCAAAGGAATAAAGCGGGGCTTTGCAATGTATACAATTTTAAATGATGCTACAGAAGAATATTTAATGTGAAGGGAAAATGTGCCCAATGCATTTTCTTTTAAAACAGTGAACTTTTTGTTATCGTTGTTGAAAACGTACACCAAGTTTCTACGCATACAATTTGGTGGCATGATGACATTCTCCAAACTTGGCAACCATTGCTATTCTCCTTTTTTGAATTGCTCCCCCCTGGGAACATAAACTCACTGCCCCCGAGGGCTTTCAGGGTGCCGTTGTCAGTTTGAGCACATATAGAAAGCTCTTAAAAAAACATATTGCTCTACTATCAAACATACGAGGGGGGAACCCCCCTCCAAAAAATGAAAACAAAACAAAACAAAAACACTCCCCTGGTGGAGCTTTCCTAGTAGGCATTTTCCCCGCTGGCGAGCACTGAGCAGCTTCCTGAGTTAGTGCACCCAGTGGCGTCTGCTGGGAAGATTCTCTCTGGTCACCATGAATTTTTTTGCCAAAGCCATTTTGCTTGAATCTGTGTGTGTGTGTGTGTGTGTGTGTGTGTG